CCGTGCCCCATGGACTCCGCACACGCATACAGACAGGCTGAGACAGCCACATGCACAACCCCTGTAACTTAGACAAGACCTTTACTTGCATGGGAAAGTGCATTCAGAAGGCAAAGAGGCACGACACTCCAGAAGTCACGGTGTTGGGAGAACACACCTGGACAACAACAAGACTACTCAGGAATCTGACCCATTCATAAGCAAGAAGAGACAAATTTGTGTGTGTGTGTTATATTTGTATCGCGTGGCTTCTGCGACCGCGTCGTAGCATGTTGCGTCGGCAAGTGTGCTTATAAACAACACCGGGAAAGAGCCCACAGCCAGGGATGTCCATAGAAAAGAACGCTTATAATGCCCAGCTTTCAAGTACAACAAGGCAAGCAAAATGGCAACTGCAGCAAAGAACAAAGGGTGGACAGAGCCGGGCGGGCAGGTGGAGGGCATGAGGAAGGCGGGCATGCAGACAAACAGTACCAGGCAGAAAAATGAGGTGGCAACAACAGGTCAAGGAGAAGCACACCGGTGAAGCAACAACACAGAACGTAGGCTGGAGGGCATGGGGGAGGCGGGTGGGCAGACAAACAACACTAAGCAAGAAAGGAACGGACAGGAAGTCGAGAAGCAGCCCGGCAACAAGACGACAAGGCAAAAAAAAAAAAAAAAAGAAAAAAAAAAAAAAAAAAAAAAAAAAAAAAAAAAAAAGATCGATTGTTTCGTCGGAGTTGCACCAACTCATCAGGAGGCTGAACCCTCAACAATCTGCGGAATCTCCGTATTTGATGGTTTGGGTCATGAACCCTTTGACCCCTGTTGAAGGCAGACTGTCCCCAAGCGGAACATAGCAGTGGGCAGGAACCCTGTGGAGCACCAGGCAACAGAGTAGAGGCAACATGGCTGCACAACACCAAAAACTACTGCAAGGAACGACATGGCACGCAGGACATGCAGCATGGCACCCGACGCCACCCGTGTTGTGAAGCACAAGACACCACAACAAGGGACCCACACTGCAAGGGACGACAGGAAGGGAACCACACTGCAAGGGACGACAGGGCGAGCGGACCAGCAACTTGGCAACCATGGAGTAAAGCACAAGGCGTCATTTCCCCCCCCAGGAAGGCCCCCGAAACGGATCGTACACCGTACAACCGGCCCGTATGACTGCCTGGGGGCCCGTACTACGTACGGCCGTTCGTACTCCCTGTATACGTACAGGGGGAAGCACAGCCGCAGGATGAGGGGGCAAGGACGAAGGGATGGGAGGATCTGTCATGGAGATTGGATTGGGCGCCCTAGCTGTGCAGTCATTCTCGTTCTTAGGACTCGATCTCACCACGCCAACCTCCAATAATCACTGATCTCTGAGATGAAGATGGAATTCGGGGAGGTGCGGGGGAGAGATGTGGAAGAGCAAGAAGAGGAAGTTGGTGCACATGCAACAGCTGGAAGCCAGCTTGCATATGGCTTTGCACGCCATTTCAAGATAAAAAAAGAAAAAGAAAGGAAAGAAGAACCTCCAAGTGTTTCTCATTACCGGGCTTTGCACGCCATTTCAAGATAAAAAAAGAAAAAGAAAGGAAAGAAGAACCTCCAAGTGTTTCTCATTACCGTTTTTATTCCACTCGGCCGGGTATTCTAAATTCCCACCCACGTAAGTACAAACACACAATAATCGCAATAACATGCATTTATGCACAAAGAAAAAGTGCAGGGCCCCACATAATTGGTCACAGCCGAGTTTCATACTAGAAAAAGTGCAGACCCCCACATAATTGGTCGCAGCCGAGTTTCATACTTCCACCCCATCCTCACTTCCCTCCCTACTGGGTACCACCCACCTGACTACCTATCAACTCTTCATGCCAAGCCTGCTCCCCTCCCTAACCCTATGACTGACATCTTAATAGCATCAGTGCCAGTTAGGCCTCTTTCCGTACCACATAAAACTAAGAACAAATATTACCAGGGTGTTAGATGCTAAACTAGCTCAACACCACACTCTACTTGGTAGGATATCCGATCAAGATATATAACAAAGAATTGCAAGATAAATTCCAGAACATGAAAGCAACTGTGTAGATACGAGACACCCAAAATACAGATACTATGCTATTAGCCCACAAGTTATAGAACCAAGAATCACAGACAAAATGAATAAAGACTATGCAAATTATCGAGAACTAACTCCAAAAAGTAAATTTCGCTCTGAACACCATAACTAGCAGCAAAGCCAACCAGTTATACAAATATCGTATCAAGCCAACAAGTCATGCTGTCAGACCTGCTTGCCATGGGCAAGTCTTAACACGGGTCCAGCCCAAAAATCTGGCCGGACTCATGTTTAAACTCCTGAAAACAAATGACAAGGAATCAGAACTCGAAAGGACTCAACAATCCACCATGGCTCGATAGCACAGTGCATACCCCACAAGGCATGTAGCCAGCCAGCAGTGGAATGGGACCCCTCTCTCTCTCTCTCTCTCTCTCTCTCTCTCTCTCTCTCTCTCTCTCTCTCTCTCTCTCTCTCTCTCTCTCTCTCTTCCCCACACCGGTCCCCATCATTCCGGATGATCCGACCAGGTGCATGAAAAAACAACAGGAATTCCGAACCAAGCATGGCACCGGCCTGATTCCACTTGCAGATGGACGCGACTTGGATGAACTTATGCGGAGATGGTGACCAGGACAGTACATCCCGTCCACCTTCGCGCTCCTCCCAGCACCGGAAAACACTCCGCACAAGGTAGACAAGGCTGTAGAGAGAAGACCTAACTTTTCTGATAACACCATAGAAAACTGAACCCGATTCACTACCGGTCCTACCGGATACATGAAAAGAAAGCAATAAATCCAGCCAAGATGATGGCCTGGTACAGCTAAACCAGATGCCCCCTTCCTAACCCACCACCATCCCCGCCCCTAACATCACGGAGTATGGCTAGCGGTCATAGCTTCTGCGGCTCAGCTTCAAGTGAGGCAGACTCACATCGCGGCCCAGTGCATCTGGCACCGGCGGCATGCGGAGCCTGCCGACCAGTCCGCTAGCAGCAGCCATCCTCTCCCCTGGCGACCGAGGATATCCTGCTCGAGAGGTAAGCCCGTATAAGTTGAACAGTATCTGTAAACCTACACCCTTTATTTGTGTGTGTCAGGGGTTAATGAATTTAATGCACACTAATCTTCTCTGATTCTTCTGTGTCTCGTTCAATTTTAACGGATGTCCCAAATTCCCAATGCATACTAATCTTCTTTGTCTCATTCCAATTTAACGGATGTCCCGAAGGACGAAATCGGCAGTTTCAACCCTCTAGCGTCGTGAAACATTTCGCTCCTGGAAGTCGTGGCTTTTATGAGCCTTTAGGTTCAAGCACCTAGATTCGAGACTCTTGAAACTTACGAGATCAACGATCACGATTAACAAAAAACCCAAACACCGTGCGATAATTGGTCGAGATACGGCCCACCGGAAAACCTGTTGTGTTTACCACGCCCACATTCAGTCATCTCCAGTTATTTGCGGCTTAGCCGAGGGCTTCCAGTGCCTTCCACTTCCGAATCCCTCCGCAGCATAGAGCGATCCGATCAAAGCGGCAACGTGAAAGCGGCCAGGTCAAAAAAGGCTTGGCCCACCATCTTTGCTGGTGTGAAAACTCAGAATTTCAAAGATGGTCGCTTCGGAAACGGAAGCCGATACTACATATTAGACCTTTCGAGGCCTTTTGGCTAAAAATAGATCAAATGTACTAATAAATGTGTTGTGATCAGTTTAATGTCTCATCCTCAATAGGCTAAAAATGGATAAAGTGTACTAATAAATGTGCTGTGATCAGTTTAATGTCTCATCTTTTCAATAAATAAGTAAAGCAAGATACTACAGGGGCCGATACTACATAGAGCAGTCATCAGCAGAACGAGCACGAGGGACGACTTATCCGCAGTCATGGACAATCGGACGCGGCACGCTTGTATGAAGAACTCCACACTGTAAATTGAAAGTGCAAACTCACCTCTTGGCATCGCCAACCCAGCCTCAGCAAGGGGGCAGCTTCCACTGGTGCTCCGCTTCTTTACTGTTTGGTTGCTTTTGTACAAAGATGCGAAATCTGTCTCGTTTTCCGGCCCCTGCCCTTCGCTTCAAGTAAATCGCGCACAAAATGTCAAATGTATCACGCAGCAAAATGCCAAGTAAATGGCGCATCAAAATGGCAAGTAAATCGCGCAGCAAAATGTCAAGGTATATCGCGCAAGAAAATATAAAGTATACCTGATACGCGGTCCATTGGGCGGCCAAAGGAGAGGGGGGGGAAGGCTGTCCCTTATCGCGCAGCAAAACGGCAGTATGCAGAAGCAACCGCACTGCTGCCTCCCAGAATAAGAGCCTCACCGCACCGCACCACTCGCCAAACGCCAACCTTTTTCATGTATCTGGACCTGCCAGAGCTGTCCAGATACATTAAAGATGTTGGCGTTTGGCGAGTGGTGCGGCGAGCCACTAGCTGGTGCTGAGTGAGTTGCGTTGTTAGAAAACTGAAGAAAAAAAAACAGTCAGTGCGCATACGAATCTGATGTGATACATCGTTACTCTATCCATGAAATGAACCTATCGTACGCCAGTATGGGCCTCGCTCCACTGCATAACGTTTTAATTGTATCCGGACATGATAGTGGTCCCAATGCATTCAAAACGCTCGAGCAGTCAGAATGCACCTGGTACGAACGAAGCACTGCCCACATACATGTCGTATGTTGAGGACTGGAGCCAGGCCCTACGTGCATGAACCTATGAGGGCGGAGGCAGTGAGCAAATGAAAAGTAATGCACGCGTGCCCCCCTATCCCCCTGCAGTTGGGAGTGTGGGCTTCACAGAGAGAGAGACAGAAATACAGAGAAACAGAAAGAGTACATCAGCTAAGCAATGCTATGGGGTCGAGGCATTGGGAATCGCTCCACTACTCTCCAAATGGGCAAAATCAGACTGAATCCTCCGCCAGAACAAGGAAAGATACATTACATTGCCAATTTTTTTCACTTTTGTGCATGTGGAGAGTGGTGTAGCCAGGTACATTCACCCGCCCTTGTTAGTGTGTGATACCAAAAGCCAGGTTCTCCCGCACTAGGAGCCTTTCTCGAAGCTCGTGCAGGGGGGGGTGTTCTTCAACCCCACGTGTGTCGATGAGGCGGTTGTACCTCTGGTGCCATCTGCACGCCCCAAGGACGTAAGGGAACAGGTCGAGCTCAGCATCGACAGCCATACATTGCAGTGCAGTACATGCATTGCATTTGGTCCTTTTCGATTCCCCGCTGGTGACTAGTCCGGCCAACCCAAATGCGGCGACGGTGGTTCCCGCCAAATACAGCTCGTTCTTCTCCTCGTCGTTAATGTCTGGCGATCTCCCGGTTCGCATGTCGTCCTCGTACACATCGCGAATCTCATCTCTGAGAAGATCATAGTGATGAGCGAGAACGTAAGCCATCAATCTCGCGGGAGCTCGGAACACCCGCTCTACACCAGGACAAGTGTGGCCGTCCTTAGACAAGGGAACGGCGAACTGCTGCCACGTGGCAGTTCGTCCGATAACAGTGGCTCTGGCGTTGACGGTGAACGTAGCTCCGCCCCAGGATTCCAGCTGAAGGCGGACAAGATCTGTGTATAGCTCCACGCGGCAATCGTTAGCAAGGTACGTCACGTAATCCTTGCCGGGTATAGGATGTTCACGAAGACGGTAAAGAAAGGACAAGATGAGGTCGCACATCAACATCGCCGTGTAGTGGAGCTCGTGAGGCGACGTGTAGTATCTTACCTGCAGGAAGCGCGTCAGCTCCTTGATCTCGAAGGGGAACAGGTTGTCGGCTCCCAGGACGTAGTAGGATGCCAGCACGAAAGCAATCAACTCCTTGGAATCGCGAGAGCTTCCCTGCGACAGCGCCAGATTAATCAGCTCGGGAAGCGCTCTCGACTCTCGAAAGCAGGCGCGGGCGGGCTGGATCCACAGCCGSTGGACGCCRCCGTTGATGTCCAGCGACTCTCGGCGACGCCGGGGCCTCTGCGTCGGGCCTGCAGCCCATCTGTCAAGCTCCTCGAAGCTCCTCACGGAGTCAAGGTGCTGATAACTGGCATACCCYCGGGCCGGGAACACGATGACCCCCAGAAGGTACAGCGCATACAGACAGGTGTTGTTTGTCAAGGCGTTGGCGGCCATTTGTACCACKTGCTCGATGCGGGTTTTGCCCTCTTTCCCAGAGAAGACCAACTCCTTGATTCCGTGGTAATGGGAGAGGTGGAGCAACCCGCCCATTGCGTTCTCCTGCAGCTCCGGCGATGGTTGTCGCACCGCGGCGCTCAGGAGGTTGATCCCTGCCTTTGCCAATCGAGAGACTGAAACGTCGCGCAGAGGATCGTAAGGACGGCCTTCTGTGTTGTCGTTGTTGGAGGCAGTATCTCCC